TTATTAGTTTTAAATTTTGGGGAACGAGTGACAAACCGTACCCTGGGCAAAAGGGAATTGGAGACGTGTACACTTTTCAAACATATTGGACCGTTCTCACAGAATTCATCGTTAAACTGTGTTCTTTTTCAGTCTGTAGACACTGATGGGGGATCCGGCAAGGGTAAATTTTATATGCTTGTGAAAAATATCAACAGCATGGGCCATTTTCCAATACTCAACTTCGGCTCCATCTCAGGCTTCAACTGTTTTTTAACTAGCTGACGTTGAAGCTGTAAGCGCAGTAATTAGTTTAATAGTGCCACAAAACATCAAATAAGATGCCAGAGAGCCAAAAATTACAGTAATCCAATGTAATTTAAACGCTTCAGGCCCACAGTCGGGTATTGGTTTTGGGAACGAAGCCTGAGACAGAGACGAAGTTGAGTATTGGAAAACGGCCATGGACTCTTAGTATAGGCTTAGGTCCTACACTTAGTCCACGGCAGATTTAAAAAATGATTACAAAATCTGAACTTCTAATTAATATCGCATTTAATTACTTGTTTTTTCTCTCCCAAAAGAACAGCTAAAGAGCGGGCTTCATTCTGTATTCAATGTAGTACTTAAAGTGTTAGATTATGCGAGGGTTTGGCCTCGCTCCAATGCTCCAAACGGAAACTGATCCCAACCCGGTCCTGATCACAGATATGAGGTGTCAGGGTTTTTCTTGTGGTACCACTTCCTTCCTCCCGAAGCAACACGCCTGCGCAGAGCACACCAGCCTTAACGGGTTGACCAAGAGCGGGCATCTCGGCCATGCATTTCCCATCGTCAGAGCAAAATGACCCGGGAAAAGTCCTCTAACAATGAGACAACGCCGTGTCATCGATATATCTTTAATCATACCGCGTGCTTATAGAAAAAAACAAACGAACCAAAATTAAAGGCAACCCCAGCCGCAAATCATACAAATAATCCCGAGTAAATAAGCTCAAATTTGTCTCCGTGCTTGGTTGCTCGTATAAAACAAAAACAATGCAACGGTACAGAGGCCCGAGATGGCGCTCAACGGGTCAATTTGCTTCACACACACCACACAAAAATGAAATTTTACTTCATAAATTGAAGGCCTCCGAAATATTAAGCAAATTTATCATAGCAAATAATATTGTCGCTTACAAGCCACATAGTGCTGAGAATAATGCTTCGCTGAAATAAAGTTTAACTTACTCTAACTGCAGGGGGCAGTTAAAGAACTCCATTTTCTGGAGGGGGTTACTCAATGGATTCGGTCAGTTGAAAAACTGACCAATGCGGACTATTCTCAGTTCTTCCTTATTTTTTTTAATTCTCTACTCTACGGGGGAGGCCTCGAGCCCCCCCACGTTACGCCACTGTTTATCTTACGCAAACTTTAGCACTGAGTCCAAGAGACAGTTCCCCTCAGACTCACAAAGGATGTTTGAAACACTTACCCTTTTTGGAAATCATTTTGAAACAGACCAAAGTGCATGATCCCCTTCAAACAACAAAGACCTAACTTAAACTAGCCATCGAGTGCTGATAAATTGAAAGTGATTCACTTTTGCCTTCCCTAGTTGCACTATCACAAAACGTCATCTCTATTAAAACTGATCAACTCTGATGGACTTCCCATTGATAAAATTATAAAATGAAACTTGTAAATACAGAACTATAGTGGTTTTTTCGGGGGAGGAGTAATAGTTGGCTTATTTAATGCAGCGAAAGTTTGGGCGTTTAAAGGGCAATAACAACTTACTACAGAAACAAAATCGAAACAATTCCTCCAGGCTGCAGTTTCCTTGACTTCAAGTTCACAGTAATCTAAACAAGAGTATTCCGGTTTCACCTTCATCACCCGCAAAGTCCAAAATAAATACAGGTTTTCCAGGCCTAACTGGATCAGGAAATTTTTTTTATAGATTTATTGATGCTACTGCGGAGATGTGACTATACCTATCGTTGTTCGATGCAGTTGGAGCTTTGATCCGATTACATTTGTTTTAGACGCGCCGCTTCACGGAAACAAATGCCATTTATAACATCAATTTTCAAAGAACAACATTCGTAATTCAAAATCATAAGACGTGTCGACATAGTTCAATCATTATCGCAGTTTGCCTGAATTTGCATAATAATGGTAAATATTTTTTCAAAAGCCTCTTTCATTTACTCTCCTTTAGAGCAATTCCTACAAACAAAGGGTTATTTAAAGAGCAGAAAACACAAACGTTTCAAAAGTGAAGGGTTTGTGAGGTGTGACCAGCGATACAATGGAACAACGGGACAGAGGAATGCATTATGCTTTCGTTCTGAATTCGAACGCATTTTCCTTTAATTTACAGAACACTGGTGAACATGACTGCAGCACTAATTTGGACGAGAAAATCTACAAATTAAATTATGTTAGACCTTAACCTTAAGACGATGTGAAAATCAAACCCAAAGGAGACAGAATCAGTTAAGCTATGCATATTTTATACACTCAACAATGCCATTAAAAAAAAGTAAGTCTGATCCAAATCAACAGACTTTTCACTAATAAATTCATAATTATGGACGCATGCGCACAAATGGCCTTGGTGGCAAGGGCCATTGAAAATGTACAGGGGTGCGATTTTGATCATTTCCTCTAAAGGTTTCTGGCTTTGTTCATTTTTTTCTTCAGAAAATCAAAATCATATTTGCTTATCCAAGTGGGATTTTTAGTGTTCTGTGTAAAAGACTTTATCCTGTGTGCACGAGACTAAGCGGGAAACCGAATACCATTTAGATTAGAAACTAACAGCCAAAACAATTTTTCTGAAGAAATAAATGAACAAAGCCAGAAAACCTAAGAAAAAATTATCAATATCGCACCCCTGTACATTTTCAACGGCCATTGCCGCCAATGCCATTTGTGCATATAACTGCATAATTATGAGTTTATTAGTGAAAAGGTCTATTTGGATCATCAGGCCGGTTTGTCTCCGGTTTCCTTGGCATGAAATGACTGAGAATATTTCTATTCCCCCTGGATGGGATGCGAATCCATCGCAGGTGGCTTCCCAGCTAATAGTGGTACCCATTTATACTCCTGGGTGGAGAGAGGCAAGCAGGGGTGAAGTGGCTTGCCAAGGGCCACAACATGCTGCCAGCAGCTGGATTCGAACCTCCAACCCTATGATTGGAATCCACAAACCCTAACCACTTGGCCACATGCCCCTAAATGTCCCCATTGTGCCATTAATGGAATAAAATATAATGTCACTTCACAATAACCATAACAACCGCCAGCGGTTATGTTAATGAAAAGCATTTTTGAGCATAAAAAATTGTTGCAAATATGAAAAACACTCTAATGAACTAATTTTATTTCGACAGTTTACTAGCCGCAGAGAGTCCCTTCATGTCATGTAATACAACATACCCCATTTCAAAACAAGTACCTCCTATAATTCTCATGCAGATGAAATCGAGAAAGAAGCTACAAGTCCTTGGTTTCTGTAGAATGGTTCGATAGGCAAAATGGCCAGCAGTTTTTGTTTACCTTGGACATCAGGACGTAGGATATTGATGTACATGTTTGTACTATTTACTGTTTTAACGCACTTATGAAAATCTTGGCTTCGTGTTAAACCATGCACCACATACAAAGCGAGTACAGTACAGGAGCATATTAACTGTCATATTTAAGAACCTCTGCCTTTCGAAAGCATCAGCATTAACTTAGTAGCTTTATTAATTCAATAGCAAGTGTTTCTTTTTTTCAACACTAATTACTGATTTCCATGTACGTGGCTGATTCTGTTTTCATTGCTTGCGAGTTTCGCGCACGAGTTTCCTCTGGAACCTCTCCTATCGCCAGGTATCCCCCTGTGCCGGTACTGGACCCCGGCGGTACCGATCGAACCGGGGAGACAACCGGTAAGTTCTTCTCGGCACGAATGGTCACCATTTCTCGATTTATTTGCTGCTGGTTGACGGTTTCAGGGTTGACGTACTCTCCTGAAGAATGATACAGAGCATTCCCTACCATGCCATCGGGAACGGAGATCTCGACGTTTTTCCTTGAGCTGGGTGTGTCAATGTTGGTCTCCATAACAAAGTTGGGAGATCCGACATGGGAGTACACGGGTGGCGTGGAGGCACTGCTCATCGGTTGCTGGTATCCGCGAGCGTCCACGGACTCTTTCATGGGTGTCGAACCGGGAGTAGCTCCCCACTTCTCATCCGGGTCGAAAATCGTAGCGTACATGTACATGCCGTCGGTACCGGACCCGGGGACTTGATGCCCTGGGGTGGGCCCCCCGAAAGTGCTGGGGGATATCCGGAGGGGCTGTTTACTGGCAGCCGGGGGCTTTCCAGCCCCTCCCCTCTTGCATTTGCGGCAACAGCAGAACACGATGAGCGCGAGAAGCAGGGCCACGAGGATGGATCCCCCGCTGATGATGGCCACGGTCGCCGGGTAGGAGCCGAAGAGGATGAAGGGGTCGTCAGGCGGCAGTCGGCTGGATGGCACCGGCGTGTCCCCCGTGCCAGCTTCTTGCGTAGTCTCGGCCATCGGATAGACGACGGTGTTCTGCCCCGGAACATCGGGTGAGATGACCAGCTGAGTTTGTCCTCTGATTTGTTGGCCACCCTTTAAATGCACAGTGCAATAGACGGTCATACCCTGGTCCTCCTCTCTCACCGTCTCCAGACGCATACGGCTAGGACCAGAATAGGAGAAATATGCGCGGTTACTCTCGAGAGAGGGGGTGGTGTGCCAAGAAACGCGGACGGTGAGGTCTGTGGCGTTGGGCCTTACGGTGCAGAGAAACACTGCCATTTCACCCACAGCAACTGGGTTTGGGGCGTAGCTGACGACTACCTGATGCTCTGAGAGCACCGTGATGGGTCCGACGGTGCACGTCCTGGCGTCGGTACTGTCAGTACTGCAGCCGTTGAAATTTGCCTTACAGTGATAAATCGCCCCATGATGATCTTCTGTTATGGTTAGGCTGAGCTTTCGCGAATGTATGTCCCGCATGGTGTCGTGCATGACTGGCGAGTCTACAATGGTGCCGCTGTCGAGCGTCCACGTAGGCCCTCCATCCCGTCGGGCGGTACAGATTAAAGTAACTTCGTCTCCGATCAGAACAGAAATAGGTCCCACGGGGTTGCACATGCCCTGGCTGTCGAAATCCACCACTGACGAGATCTCCTTCGAGGCCGACCCGACGACATCGTAGCCGGAGCTCGCTCTGGGGGCGAACACTGTGCAGCTGTAGTTGCCGCGGTCTTGCCTGCACACTGGGTCGATGGTCAGCAGCGAGATCACTCTGTCCGGGGTGGGCTGCGGGATATTGGGCAGGACGAAACGAGATGAGCCCGGTCCCAGCGGATCTAGGTTTGGTAACAAGTCCCCGTTCCACGAGATGGGCTGGTTGTCCTTCATGATGGCCATAACTTGGCCAGGCTGGACAGCGGCGTTGCATTGCAGGACCGTACGTTCGTACTCTGTTGGCTCTGTGTTGGATAGTTCTATGGACACACTCCAGTCCTGCGGGGACGTGTTGTCGGCAACAGTACCGACTGCCCCAAGCAATAGCCAAATCGCCAAGAATGCCATGGGAACACACAATGAACAGCTCTTCATTCTTGTCACAGATACCATACGCACTGAACTTTCCTTCATGCTGGGATGTATTATCTCACTCAAACACATCACCAGATACAAACATTGATGGTATACGAATTCACCACTGGAGTTTTATAATCAGAACCAACCGGATGCTTAAACCAGCCCACTGCCTATTCAGGCAGACGCAGTTTCCTGTTTCCCGCTTGATGCACCAAGCTGGGTATCCAGGTAGACCGACCTAGTCTGCCGATTTATGGTGGTTGTCTAATTGGTATGTGAAATTACTGAGTGGCTTGTGAAACCGGAAGGGGCAGTACCAGGGAGGGCATATCCACTGAGTATGATTCATGACTTCTGACCAAACATGTTCACATCAGAGTGGAAGGAGTGTCGAACGTGCGGTGCACATACCTTCCCTGACGCACACAATCTGCTGATGATGACAAAGCACTTAATAAACTCAAATTTTGAGCCAGTAGAAACAATCCCACAATCCTCAACACTTCCACTATAGGATCGCACCACTGGTACTCATGAAAAGAACCAATCCACCAACTGATAGACCAACTGTAGGCCAAAAAACATAACCTTTCAAACCAACGAACAACAAATCAAGTCAAAGATAAGAAAGAAATTAATACGAACATTTAACCATAATTTCAAGCGAAATCAAACCGACAGGGAATAAAAATAAAAAGCAACTGCTTAAAACACAATTCAATCGTCCGTATGTTTCAAATTAAAATATGTCTGGCTGTATTTCACATTGAAAGGTTTATTTCCATTTATATAATCTGTATACAGACAGTGTACATGTAAGGGCTGTGAAAAATCATACAAAACTTATTCTTTCCCTCTCGTTTTTTTATACCCATCACTGTAAAAATTATTACACCTCGCCCACAGAGTTTGTAAAGGCTTGATTAGCCAAGAGCTAGTTATGTATCATTCGCTAGTTGTGCTATCTAGCTTTACAAGGCCAAGACAGCTGTACCCGTTGTGCCCGTTCCGAAGTCCTTGCAAGGCAACGGGGCTGGGTTGAAACATTTCGTGCAGAGGTAGTTAGGAAAAGCGCGGGCAAAATTTCAACAAATCTATCACTCATTCAAATGGGCGTACCTTCTTTTAAGGTCAGGTTAATCACTTATCACTCATATCAATCAGAATGCGCAGGGGAGGTGTTATAAAACAAATGCTCTTGGCTTTTATCTCATGGTGGAGTAAAAATTAGCCTCTCTCCATGCTCCATGAATCACCGAGGTAGGCCAGTATTCCTACACCACTTGATGCAGCTGTGAAGATTTTACACAGTGAAAAACACAATCATATAAATAGGCTTTGCATGCTTACAAAATAGGCTTTTTTGTTTCATAAAGCAACTCTCATAAGCGTTGTTGCATCGTTGAAAATTATATGAAATTAATTTAGAAATCACGCACCTTATTTTCCCCTGGTGGTATCAGATCGATTTTTCTCATTTGCATTAAGGTTGCCTTTTAAAAAATATAACATATTTTTGTGCAAAACATAATTTACAATCCTTTATTTACAATTTTAAACCATAAGAGCTTTAAACATCTTTTAAGGGCATTTTGCATAAAGAATAGGAATTAATACCACAATTTTGACAAACCATTTGTATCCATTGTTTATGGTTGAAAAATGCTTGGCTTAAAATTCCCGATTAGTAGTTATCATAATACTAAGGTGCCTTGAGAGTTTTGTAAATTAAATCATTTGGAAGACACTGTCATTTCTGTGTAAAGTAAACGAGAAGGTAAATGGCTGTCCACATTTTAAAAACTGAGTTTTTAAATGTTTACAGACAATTTGTAAAAAGATTGAGAGTTTTTTTTTTTACAATTTAAATATAAAAATCAACACATAAATTGGCTACACAGTAACGGTGTCACATAGGAGAATTTGCATTTTAATGGCAAATCTGGACGTTGGTGTTCTTTTCGGGGATCCTTTTCTGTGCAAGTTGATCATTCCGCTAGTCTACTATTTGTCTTTTATTTGACCTTCCCTTCCATTGCATCATTAGATAGTTGAGTCAGCCAATTGCTGTAATCCAGTTTTACAAATTTTTCCACAACTATTTTTATTTGTGACCAAATACAAACAGAAATGGGTCTTAAGGCTAGATTCTGAATTGTATACATGTAGTTTGTATTCCTTTGAAATCTGCCTTGATTGGCATCCTGAAGAAATAAGCATGAAACAGGTGGAAAATGTTGAGAGTTTCTATTAATTTACACTTTGAAAGATTCCTTTCAAAGGCTTTTAGAACTCAGAAGTTGCTCCAGTGATGTACAACTCATGTTGTAAGGATGGGCCACAATAATTGTCCTTGTCCAAAATCACTGTTCCAGCTGTCTCTCAACTGGTTATTTTTCTGTCCTACTCACAGTGTCGAATGAAAGTGACGTAGCTTGATGGATGGGCAGCACTCATGAGAGTAGTGTACACCGTGCCTCTGAGGTAAACAGCGAGGGTGAATGAAAAAAAATTGCACCTGAATGGAGCTGGATTTGAACCTGTGACCCCCGGAATACTGTACCGGTGCTCTACCAACTGAGCTATCCTGCCCTATACGTTGGTGGCTCTTCCCAGCTGTGAATTAGTTTTGTTCAGGGGCACTAGTCAGAAGCCACGTAACCTGAAACACCATGAAACCACGGATCATGCCCCAATTATACATGATGCAACCTGGGAAGTGGTGAATAGGGATCACTCGGAGAGGATGCGGCTTTTAGAGCACAAATCGTGAAACAAACTAGATATGGAAAGTGACTACGCGCTAATTATAAAGATGAACAGAGAAATTTTACTTTATCTTTATTTTTATTTCACTTTGTCTAAGCAATATCTTAAACATTCAAAGAGTGTAAAACTATTTCACTTACGAGTTGCAAACAAGACGTATGGAGAGCACTTTGAGCATCCCATCTAGGTCGATAGCATCTTGGCCAATGGCATTCATCGCTTTGTTACCAGGATCCCTGTAATCAGCAGCAAAGTAATGATTGGACCAAATATCTGTACACAAGCTCACAAGGGTATTCTTCCATGCCTGATTGGTTGAACCAGGATACACCTTTTACTGTACATGTATGGTAACAGCCAGTACGGTACAAGTTATGTGAATTAGTTTCCTCTTCAATAGTGAGTCTTTGCTTTGCATCATGCCAATAATTTAAGGTTCAGGAAGAATACAGAGCAGCAGTTACAGAGTGATGCAAAACACTAGCTACTTGCATGAATAAGAGAACAATGGCATCTTTTACAAAGGAAAAGCATACAGGTTCATATGGATTTGGCAACCAATTTCTGGGTGCATTCGGGAAGCTTTCAAGAGTCGACTTGGGTTCAATCATGTTCCAACGTACAGTGTCCATTGTTTGACAAACAGCACACAAGGCCATCCTAGTTCAGAGTTAGCTGCCCTGTAGAAGCTACCTGAACAGAATGCACCCACAGTTTGGATATAAGGTGCTCCTAGTCAGAGCCAATACTGAGGTAATAATAACTTGTCTCAGAGGTGTGGCAGTTACTAATGAAAAGCACTTTACATAAACAAATTTCACACTGTAATTCTGTGCACTGTTTTACACATCCTGGTGGCAAAGTGCTCAGACTTTGTTCACAATGATGTCGAAGTAAGTTTATCTGTGACATCATTCCAAATATGGTTAAATTATTCAAAAGCAAATAGATACAAATATGTAAATTGTGCATGAAACAAACTGGCTAATGGAATGCAACATTTTCCTAGTCACGGCTTCATAGTAAGTTTGATTTTGTACCGTCGGTCGTCACTCTTGGGTGGTGGTTCCCAGTGGTCATAGTTTGTCTCAAGCACAAACCACCTGGCAGCAAAAACAAATCAATATTAGTTTATTCAGCAAAGTCTTCGCATGTCAAACAAGTTTCGTTAGACTGGTGTTAATCTCAGGTTCCCTGAAATGAAACCACTGAAAATATTTCAAGTCCAATGATCAGTGGATACTCCCAGGTCAGTGGGGGTATTCGTTTACAAGGAGGGAAAACAAGTAAGAGTAAAGTGGTTTTCGCTCAAGGGCTTAAGATTCGGCCAGCTGCCGGGTTTGAGCTCTTACCCTCCGATTATGTGCGTACTTTCAAATGGTGGAGAAAAATAAGCTTGATCAAAATACTGGTATTTCATATTCATTTCACAGTCTGCCATTGCACTTATATGGGGAAGATTTACAAGCAATGCAAAACAATAATTGGATTTTGTCCAAACATGAATGACTTCAGTGAAATTGCCAGGTCTCTGCACTATTTGCATACCTAATAACTTTTATTGGGTAGATAAAGAGCGCAGAGACCCAAATTCAAAATGAAGTCACACAAAATAGCCTTTGAGATTACGTCGGTGACCATATGCTGGGATAATTTCTACATTGTCCAATGAGCCTGGTTCTCAAACACCTAATGCTCATGCAGTGTGTGAAGTGTGTCAGTAACCTAAATTACTGACATTACATCATTAGAGGTTAGAGACAATCACATTTTGTTTCCATGCTGACCCTACAACTGAGACAGAGGTTGTGTCTGAAACAATTGGCTACGGCTTGGAGTAAAATATGTACATATAGAAGGCACATGGCTTGTGGCCGGAGTTACTTCCCATAGATTTGTGTGTTATTACCAGCCAGGTACGAGCCACTCAGAAATGGCTATACCTTGAGGCATTGTTCAGACTACAGTGCACTACTGGCTGTGGCGAGACACTTACCTGCCCTTTGACAAGTCAAGACACCAGACGTCAGCTGCAGTGAGGCGGTCCCTTGTGATGACAGCGCCCTCTGTGGCCTTATTGCCACCAATGATGAAATAGTTGGGTGCCGTTTCAGGGTGGTAGGCCAGGTGCTTCAAAGCACTGTCGTAGGTCATCGTGTCATTACGGGACAGAGCCTGCACGTGCAACATAATAAGAATACAATTAATAAGGTCAAGTAAAAAGTAATTTCTCATTTATGCCTGCTTCATTTTTTTCCTCATCAACATAGTATGACTCTTTTTTTCTCTTGACAACTGTAGCTAGAATGCAACTTTTAAACCTATTTGACAATGTGAAAGGTCTTTATTTCCCACATAAAAATATCAGCAAAAGACCGGAGTCTTGAGAATCCATCCATCCATCCATCCATCCATCTATCTTAGGCAAAAATACGCTAAGAGAAAAAAAATTGAATTTGTTAAGAAAATATTTGTTTATTCTGCCTAATAATAATAACTTCAATCACTGTTTTTTGTAAAGAATACCATGAGAGAAAAATGTCAATATGGCAGACATTGTCCCCTCAGGTCAAACTGTCAGGGAAAGGCAGATTAACAATACAAAACCGTGCTTGTGACTTTGGAACGTAAAACTGCAAGGTGGAATTTATATAGCACTTCCATACTTTGAAATTTTTGCAGGGTGTGGAAAGACAAGGGTTAAAGAGATAAGATTTTACTGACATTACGCAAAGTGTGGTATACATGTCGAGTAAGGGCAAAACCTGCGATTAAAATAACATGGTACACGTATATCTACACACATGCATGGCAGCAGTTTTCACATAGGGTGTTCTTCTAGGGCTTGTTTATGAAATGGCCTAGGCCACAACTACCACGGAAAAATTCTGTGCTGATTCACAACATATTTCATGAAAACATTAACTCTGATTCAATAAAGGAGGCTTTCACATGAAGTGCTAGTAAATTTGGTAACTTCAAACACATTAAGTGATAGGAACTTGCAAACACTGTTGTAGTCAAGACCACTTAAAACGTTCACAAGACCACACAAGACCAGCACGTACAAGACCTCCAGTTTGAATTCAAGTCACATTTAAGCTATTCAAATGAACTGCAACGAAAGCATTCCTTTGTCATCGTTCTCACTGTTACTTGTGTCTGATCTTGTGATGGTCTTGACTACAACAATACTTCCACAAACAATGAAATGATTAGACGTGTCATTTTCCCATCTATGGCTATTACCGATGATGTACTCACATCTCGAATCTGAAAGGAGGTGAAAGCAGTCTTGTTGGAGATTAGAGCCTTCAAAAATTGAATGACGTTTTCCAACATGCTACCTTTATCTAGACAAATGGTTAGAACAAATGAAAAAAGGGATTATAGTAATTCTATTTACTGATAGAAGTCATTCTGACATGATGATGATGGAAACTAGCGTTCTTTAATTTCCATGAGAGATTTGTGATGCAAACCACCTGAAAAATAAATAAAAACAGTCTGAAGTTGATTTCAGTGATATTTCCATATTGAATTACACAGGTCAGGTGTAATGGGGTCACAAGAATTGTTCCACACTTTTGGACCCTGAAGTTATAAAATGACCCACAAACTCATACAAGCTACAATTGCAAGTACCACTAAGATGGGGAAACTCCTCAGTTTTAAGTGGGAGAAAAACTCAGCTAAATCCTACTGCGTCAGGCAGGATCCGAAACTCAATATGTACGTATGTACATACGCAACTGGCAAAATCACCACGCCGGATAAATGAAGCATCATGTGCCAAGAAATGTTACTGACCTCTCTCGTTTAATGACACAGTAAACGCATTCGGCCTCTGTCCTGTGAACACCCCTGCTTGGCCCAGAAATGTAGTGGAAGTATACAGTGTCTATGGTGCAATAAATAACACATGTAAAACTGACCTAGATCTTTCATGGGACACTAAGAGTGTCGGGGGGGGCAAAGCGCTCGTCAGTAACAAAATGGCAAACTCTTAGCAATGGAAGGGGTCAATTCTGAAGTCTGTTCAAGTGAAATGGGGGTTTCACGCCCCCCCCTTCTTGAGGGCCAACTCCCCCCACCCCTTTTTTAAAAAATTTGTTGGTCTTCTGGGGGAATGAAACCAAAGCAGCCCATTCCCCCCCCCACTACCCCAAGCCCTTAAAAGATAAACCCTACATCTAAATCCATGATTACTATGCATGGTAGATCTACAAGAACCTTCACCCATCATCACTCACCTTGCCCTTGCTCTGAAAGTCAACAACTACTGTCCAATTCCTCAGCGTAGCTGTGAAATCGTAGTCCATGTTGCGAGCATGCCAGATGTTCCCCTTGGTGTCTTCGGCGACAATGCTGGTGCACCCTCTATAAACCAAGTAAGTCCAGAAACAAGCCAGTTTGATACTCCAAAAGTGCATACTCAAATGGAGCTCAAAGGAGGGTCAGAATTTTTAAAGACCAACTTTGTAAAGCACTATGGTTTTGGTACTTCTTCATTTGAAAAATTCAATATTTTCGACTGAAAATAATACAGCACCTGGAACAAGTCAGAGCAGAATACTTTTATAAGTATTTTTATACTGTTCATAAGCAAATACATGTACATATGCATACCCAGAAACAGTGAGGTCATACAAAGTATTCAAAAGTACTACTTCTCCAATGTCCATCTGTAAGTATTTGGCAATGCCACGGATCTCTCCAGCATATGGCACAGGCAGATAGTCGTCCACCGCTCCAGCAATAATGTCAAGAAGATCGAGTACCTCAGCAGTCATAAACTTGCTATAAAAGATATGTCATATTTGAGCAAGGTCAAATTAAACCACATAATTTTCAGCATGTCCAATTGCTGGATTGTACAAAGGGTAGATGTGTACAGTTTTGGCAATTAAGACTGAGACAAGGCACTACAAATTAGAATGATACATTTATCAGACTCAAATTCTGAAACAAGTGGAATGGACTCTGTTTTCAAAGCTTTCCTGGATTTCTAAACAATGTGCTTTAGAACCAAGCATCACACCCGACGATTTTGAGGATAAAAGCCAGCATTCATTGTACCACTGCAACAAACTCACCATGCTCACTGCATGAAGGAACACATCCGTTGGGATTAAACTCCTGATAAATGGCATGCCGTGAGGAAATCGCTAAAATTGTTCAATCTTAAGTACCTGAGTGCACTGTGCATTTCGTTACTTACTGCATGATTTCCTTGAATTTCCTCTGGTAGTCCCCCACATCCCAGTGCCGAAGGATGGCATTCCATCGCTCCTCCTCCGCTAGATCGAGGTTGAGGGAATACCTAGGGGCTTTGGGGAGACCTCTACTCAAAGTAGGCCCACCAATGACCAAGAGGGCTGCAAGGATAAACCAAGAAGAATTGCGCCACATATCGAGCTTTGCGAGGAAGTATACTGTTCAAAGCAATGTTCGTCGACTATGCGTCAAGGCCGGCCTTCACTTTGTTGAAATACATAATAGGTGATCACATGACACCTGTACCTGCCCCATGTGATCGTGATTTCCGTAATCACGTGATAATCGGGAGGGGGTTCCCGGCCGTGTCATGAGGTAGGTTACAGCATTGCTACGCAGTAATTGGCCAGATGTTACAGCCCGGGCAGTTCAAACTCCTCCTGTGTCCTTCCTCTATGCATGGAGGTAGAATCACAATTCTACTTCCATGCTCTATGGTATAAAAACCACGACTAAGCGAGCTATATGCAATCATACGTAACCACGATTCACTACCATGCACAATGCATGACATCTAGATGCTCGCTATTTGCACTAACCCGGTCCATACTATATAGTGCTATCTCGGGTTTGCAGTGTACAGAGCAGATTTGATTATTTATAATTGTTCAGTGACCCAGATATTCTGATCACTTCGTGATGGATTCATGCTACAACTCCCTGAGTTACATGTTGCGCCTTTTTTGTTTTGTTTTGTTTCGTTTTTTACAGAGAGGGCCCGTGGATCACTGGCGGCGGAAGCGGGACTGCGGGAAGGGGAAGGGCAAAGTTCCTTCCACTTTTGCGACCGGGAGGGGGGCACTTTGGCAGGTCCTATAATTGGGTGGGGCTTCATGGATTGGCCTATTGATGGCTATAATGCCTGATGGTCTCACAACTGGCCCCCGCACTTTGAACAAAAAAGGAGAACGCCTTGTTTCTCTTTCTTTATTTCAAAACAAAAAGCAACGAAAAGGAAAGAGCAGTTATTCCTCGTATTTTCTTTAAAACGTACCATGTACTTTTCCTTCGTTTGTTTTTCATTTTGAAAACGAAAAATGAAAAACAAGCCTTTTGCGTGTTGTATCATAAGAAAAGAATAGAAAAAGTCGTTTCTTTTTTCATTTGAAAGCGAAAACAAAAGGTTAAAAAAGTCGTTTTGCTTTTTTCCTAAATACGAAAAATGAAAAGCAAAAACCCATTCCTACGTACAAGAAATTAAAATAAAACCCTTTCAGCTTATTGTTTCAAAAAAGCTCAATTTTTTATTTGATTTTGAGAGGACGTCAAACAACATTCTATCTATAAGGAGCCACTGCTACCTGGACATGTATAGGCCTATGTATTGCATGTGCAATAGATACGGCCGGGAACCATGCTACTTCAAAATTCATGACCAGTAAAACGAAATATGGGTTTAAAAATTTCACAGAAATTACTTTCGTGTTCTGTTTTGATCCTTCTCAACACGTATGAAAACAAGAGACTACCTCTTTTTCCCATTTTCATTTTCAAGTGGAAAAACGAGAAACGACTAAATGAAAAAAGAAAAACGACTTGTTTTCCGATGTTGAGAATTTTCAATCGAAAAAGAGTGAACGAAACGTACACGGACCATAATTCTTCATTTTTACCAAAACTTCGTTTAACAGACACGAAATCGAAGTTCGAAGTAGGTTGGTCAAGCCTACTTAAATAAAAGTATGACGTCATGCTGCTAGATGTCTTTTCCATTTTAGATGCAGTATGCACATGTCCGTTATGTTTATAACAGGTTAATTAAAGATGTGGAAACGTCGAGATCGCTATAAAACATGGACTAAACAGTTGGAACTTGAAGAACTGTATATGAACCTCAAGCTGCACCAAGAGAAGGAGCAGTTGTGTTAGCAACTGCAGTTCCTTTGGTCGGAACTGGTTCACGAATGAATGTGAAATGCACACATTACTGTCACAACGCTACCAATGAAATGAGCGCTCCCGACCAACACAGCTCTTTTCAACCGATGAGGGAGTGCTTCTGCTCGGGACGGATTAGAGTTGTGATGTTGTCTGTGAAATCGAAAAAAACTGCAATTTATACAAGCCCAGAATTTGTGGATATTTCCGAATATTAACGAAATTCTTCCATCGTCATTCTCTGTTCAGCCATGTTTTAATGCATTAATTCGGCCAGCTATAAAGGCGTTTCTTATACCACCAAATGAACAACTGTTTTTCATTCATCAAAAGTGCATAATAATTCGTTTTCAACTGGGAAAAATGAGAAACCTTTCTTATTTTTTGTTTTGTTTTCAACTTGTAAAACGTATTTTTTCGTCATTAAAAAGGCAAAGTGATTTTTTGATAAAACTTTCAATTGTTTCTGTTTTTAAATCGCGTACTAGTGAACGAAACGTGCACGGGCCTGAGCGCTTTTTCTAAATTCAACCGTCTGTGATTTATGAGAAGCCTATAAACTGATGATTTTGTGAGTTTTCTCACAGTATCTTTTAGAAGTATCCATTTCCAGGTGGTCCCGTTGGGCCTGGTTCCAGATTTCTTCCAGTTTCTTATACTTTATTTAAAAGTGAAATTAACAACCTGTCACAAACTTGCATGCCTTTAAACGGGCTCATAAAGTATAGCGCCATCTTTCTGTTGTTGGCGTCCAATAGGGCCACGCCCTATTGAACAACGTATGCCCGATTGTTCGAATTTAGAGTTAGATATCACCTTGATGTTCTGTTGAAATACATCCGCATGGCTCTAAAATAAGCCTACGTAACGTAATTGGACGAGTTCCAATTTCAACTCATATATATTCTCCAGCTGGGGAGGAGGCAATCAATGTTCCTGCATTAAAAGGAAGAGGAGCAACTAGCCCTAGAGAAGGGCCAGTCTACTGGACTCCTTCCCACGCAGAGGGATCGAGTTCAGCAGTAGACTGATTCTAGGCTAGAGCAAAACCAAATCAATTACCGACTTGATAACAGCCAGAGCGATGCCACCCCACGTACATGTACATGTGAATGCCCCTCACTTAGTTTGTGCGCATGCGTACTGAATCCAACTACTGCCAGAAGCTAGTAACATGGCTCGTCTTGGTCAGGGTGGACCCCAAAAGTAATCGATCAACATCGAGCTCAGAAGAAGTTGTTTGCCCTTCATTCCCCGGCTATTTTAACACTCAAAGTCCCTTTTGCTAACTTGAACACCGTAGAAATCCATTTTCTGCCAAATGTTTGCCCGTCTTTCTCACGTACCTCCAAAGTAACCGAGTCAGAAGTTGGAAGTGAAGCCAACCGTTAACATTTTAGAGGGGATTCTTTCAATTTTGCCGAGTTTTCCCTGACATTTCTCTACTCATATAGTGAGGAATATCATGGACGCTGAACGGAAAGTTTTTGTTTGGGCCTTTTAATAGTCGGGCAATTTGATGTCCTACATGTACATGTACGTATTAGTGCAATGGTGTAATGCAGCAAAAGTCAACTCGTACCGAAACCCACTCGTACCCAGGAGTGTGTGCAAGTACGGGTATGCCAGGCCCAAAATCCGGACACCTCATTTTTCACCGCTGTCGGTCATGTCGGACTCAGTGGGGAAATTTGAATCCGCATGAAAAACGAACTGCATTTCAGACAAATGGTTCTCGATCTTGAAGAAATGAACTGATGGATACAAACGATTCATCAGTCTTCCAGACAGTCTCACCGAGGATTTCGAGAAAAGTGTGATAATTGGGCACTTACGTAAGACGGAAAACACGGAAAATGACGAAAATGGGTCCCAATGAAAAAAGAAATGAAGTTCAAAAAAGGTTTCTTGCCTAGAAGTAATAAACTTTTTTGTTCATAAGTTAAAATGGTAAAAATTAGACACAAAGTTAGCTAAAAACGGACAATTTCTCATAATTATCCTTTGTCGTAAAATTGACTTTTCCATTTTCCACATCTTTGATTAGTTTCCGGAGATTTTTCTTATCAGAAGCTATTAAATATCACCATTTGATAGACTCTTGGCAATTTATTCACACACGAAGTCTTCAAGGGAAATGGCAGGACAAATCCCTCACCGATATGTGTCGTCTGCTAGAATCATAATTTTGCATGCCGACGACCGTTATGTCACTATTGCGCATGCGCGAATCCACAAACTAAATGGCGCACGTACACAGCGCCAGCCACGGATGACGTCACTGTTTCTTTCATCTTTGTTTCGATTATTGTGAACTCAACTAGAACTGCGAATGGCCTTGCGCTTCACGTTAGCCATGCACAGAGTATTTGGTGTAGATATATATAATGCACAACAGACTACATAATACGACGCTGATAGGTGAGGCGTGAACCACAGCATAGAATTTGCCTTTACCTTGGTACATGTAGGCCTAACGTATATTACTGGATTGGTGGTGTTCTACATTGTCTAGCAACGTACATGTACACGTACATGTACATGTATGTAGGCCTACAGTACGTGTTGGTGGCTTTACGCACAGCGCCACGACCAGTCACATATTGCCGCTTTTCTTCCTGCTCCGAAAAACAGTTTGGCGCAAAATGTAGCTGTAGCACTTGTTCAGAGTTTGTTTTACATCATTACACATACATAAATAAAGGTAGGTATATACACAGTACAATTTCCTGTATTCGAGTGGTAAGTAGCCTAAGCCGACGAGTTGAAAAGCTAGTGTGTTATATACTGGAGCCAGGAAACGGGTTTGAATACCCGGACCGAAGATCATGGCTGTACCGTTCAATGGGAACAACAAAGACCAAGTTGGCCACTAAATGGCCGTAGCGACTGATCTGCGGAATCTATAAGTCTGTCCTGTGCGGATCGGATAAGGGTCGCTCAGTGGTCTCACGGTGCTCCGTCACTTGTGTCACCCAGGTGGCCCGAGCCCCTTTGTCGCTTCCAGACCAGAGGTGGTTGTCGAGAGGAATGTGCATCTAGCCATAGGAATATCTGTTTGGCTGAGACAACCTTCCTTCCATGGTCATTCATCCTGGCCATGCAACCCCGGAACTGCAACCTGCGTCGATGGATACGAGTGAATACAGGTTCTGCGTTCCACAGCGACGGTACATTGCTGCATTTTATGTGATGGAATCGTATTTGAGAAGGATATTCCTGAGACATTCACGATGGAGAGCGTCAAAGTTCGCAGATCGTTGAAGACAATGCCCACGTTCAAGTCTCACTTGCATATAACCGCAATTTCGAGGAGGCGTAGTTAGATATCTAGGGCCTATGCTAATAGAGGCCAATCGCAAGATATGCATTGTGCAGCCTCAGGCTCTCAAACAGGATGCAGATAGAAGAAACCAGACACACAGATTCATTGACTGAGGCCCGGCACCTCGGCACTCCAATCTTAATAGTTGTGGGTAGTGATCTTTATGAAGGGGCCAAATCAGAGAAAGATTGGACTTTGTTTTTGCCAAACTTATGGTACCGGTAAGTCCTATAAGGGGGTCGTCTCTTGAGCAATAACACTGAGAGCATCTGAGATCACATCACTGGGTCTTGGCAAAAAGACCAACATCATCTACATAACACAGATCGGCAGAGAATGGAGGAATAAAATGTGGAACACTGAGGTCAGGTGATTGCTGCAGGCCTTTAATCTCTGGCAACACTGAACAAAATTTGTGCAGCATCACACCCCTGACGAACCCCAGATGTTGTTGGGAATGGATCAGACAGCAGTCCATCAGACCGGGTGGTTAAGTTGAAGGCGCGTAAAAGGGCGACCAGCTTTGGGGGTACACCCACGCCCCGAAGCAATTTCCAGTGTGCATCTCTGTCAAGTGAGTCGAATCCGCTTTTGAGGTCGACGTACGCTGTCGTGAAGAGTTCACGGAACTCCAAGGGAACGGGGCACCCAAAACATACGAAAATTAAACCCACTGTCATTCCTGCTGAAAATTGCGTTGATATACTGTAAGTGAGGTTAGCTTTTTCCGATCGTATTCGAGACGGATGCAGCCGTACACGTCCCATAATCCAGACCTAAGCAAAACTCATTCACTGTACTTTATCACAGGGTTACTTTGAATAATGAGGGAGAGGTAGGACCGAGAGAGAGGAATGACTCGCTTTCAGCTCTTGTCCGTGGTGGTCGCTTTCATGGTGTTCTGCCGGGGTTGCCAGCCGTGTAAAGTGGTCAACTGGAGGCCCAAAACAGTGGCTGAACAGGCGGCCGAGGCTGAGATTATCGTGTACGGTACCATCACGGAGCACTACCCGTTACCCGATGTTCCCTTGGACAGGGTGAGTCCCAGTTCCCTGAAATTTGATCCCCTCCAGTCCTCGGATCGATAAAAGCGTCCCAACAACCCCTTCCTGATCATTCGAGTGCACTTATTTGGATTTTTACCATCTTGCAGGCCTACATTGCTGAAATGAACGTGACCTGTAACTTGAAGGGAGAAGTCCTGCCCTCCAGAATCAACATCTCAGAGGCAGGCAAACTGACCTCATGTCATCACACGCTGCTGCCTGTCGATGGCACGTACTTCACCTTCCTCGAGCGGAACGCGGACGGCAACTTGGTACCAGACGAAGTCAACCATCTCTCCGTCGCCTTCCCGCCCACGAAGGAGAACGTGCAGGGCGTGGCAGAGGCGGTGGGGAACTTGGAAGAACGGTGCCCGCAGCTCCACGAGCGACCTGCAGGCTACAGAGGCGGTGATGATACGGATGGCAATGGCACAATTAGAGCTGCTGGATCATTTATGTGTATCGTTGTCATGGTTATCACGGCAATTACAGAGAGTTCCTTGCACTTTTAATTTGAACGCTTCTTTCGTCATGGCGTAAATTTAAGTTGAAATTTTCAACCCTTTTGGCTATTTTAGAAAACAAATGCGTTTTCGGAGGGTGAAAAGTGTGGACATTGTTCATGCAACTACATATGGGTCTATTTACACATTTTTTGAAGGAAGGGAAATGAAATACATGTAGAACAAAATATTTGCCCCTCTCCGTTTATTTTTGAAGATAAATTTTTGCACCTTTTCGGGAAAGGGGGGGGGGGCAGGGCGTGGTCCCGTTGGTCTCCCGGATCTGACCTTGTCTAACAATTGTAATCAAGTGGACTTTACCTACAATTCCTCATGTTATGAACTACAATGAGGAAATAACTACATGAAAAGATAAGTTTTATTTCAGTCAGAGAAATAACTCTTAAAAGTTCCAAATTTCTAATATTAATGTCACAAATAATTACCAACTTAATTTAGCCAAGAGGTTGTTTTTTAGTAGAATAAAAAGCAGTACTGCAATCTCAACAATTCATTTATACCCCAAAAGACATACCACAACATAGCTTGGAGGGCCGTTTGAAAAACTCGGCTCGGTCCATAACTCGGCGCCTATTCTCATGATCCGGTCTTCAAAGAACGTTTATAAGACCGAACAAGCATGTAGTTTACCCAAAGAGAACAATAACTGTTTGGTATCCCAGTGGCATGCATGAAATTGACAGCTTATTGAATCTTGAGAGTTTTTAAAAGATTATTTCATTAAATATGTCAGCAGTAATAAAAGAAACAAAGATACAATTTTGTATGCGGTGTTTTAAAAAAAATGATAAAAATATCCTGAGCGCACCTTCCCTTCGCAAATTAATGCTTTCGGGTAGAAATTTTTCGGTGTCAGGACAGGTCGGGTCTTGCAGATGCAAAACAGATGTGACGAACCAAACTCGAAGAAACTAGAACGTGTGTCAGTGGGCTTATGAAGCCATGATCTGCAAACGGCAAAGACTTGTAGACCATGAATGTACCATGCTGAAGCCCCAGTGTGCACAGATCACAACAATCATTCGGCATCCAACATTTTTGTGGCAATTGGAACATAATTCGACAGTAAGCAGTCAAACTTGAGGGCTGCTACCGGTATATGGCGGGAAATTTTCAGGTGTACACCCCCAAAAATTATACATTCAAGATATTCTGTGTTTATATAGAGGGTCCTGAGAGCCACGCACTGAACCTCCAGCCTGGACTTAGGCTTCCAATTCTGAGCAATTTGGATGCAATCGGGTCCGAAAGTGGCACTAGTTAGCCGTTTTGCAGAGAGATGTTTTTCAAAACGGCCACTTTTCCCAGTTAGGGAAATATCCTTCGTTATGTGAGAATTTCTCAGAAAGTCATTGGTCAACCCTCCAAAAATGGAAAGGAACAAAAAGACGACATGCTTTTTCTGTGCGGCCTGAACACCTGTGAGAGTTGGACCTTTTAAAAGAATGTTGAAGTACGGGGATTTATCACTGGTGTGTATGAGAATTTACTTACCGGGGTGCACCCTCCTGATCATGGGCAGAGGCTATAGATTTACCACGATACGAACAATGGCCTGGTCTAGTGTGCCAGCTGTTGACGGCCATCTAAATGATGTGGCTATTTTATTTACCTGTGTGACATATACACAGAAGTATGTTGATGTGTCTTGAAGTGCACAAGATGCAAATGGCACAAACGCTTGGCCTAAAATTAGACACGGCATCATTCCGGAAACGTTCAGGCATCTGAAAGAAGAGAACAATGTTTGAACATCCAAGTCAAGTGTGACACTGAAGTCCAAGTACACTCGTTCACTTTTGAGCGATAAGTGCGTGGCTTCATCTCTGTGGTGTTTGACATATTCGCCAGTATAAATACAGAGAGCAAATACATAGGCCATTGTTAACGAACACTTCTGGTGAAAAGGGGTAAACTACCAGGATTTGACCAAAGGTCTAAATGATTTTGAAGCACGGATAAATGCATTGTGAAAAACAGTGTGTGTGTTATGCGTTCATTTCGATTAGTAAACCAGCTGGCCTGAAGACTGCTTTGTTTTTATAGAACCAGAAAAAGACCAGCTTGGGAGGGAGAGATGACTCGCCTTAAATTCTTGTCTGTGATGCTGGCTGTCCTGGCGTTCTGCCGGGTGTGTTGGCCGTGTTCAGTGATCGACTGGAAACCGATGACTGTGGCTGAGCAGGCCGCTAAAGCAAAGATCATCGTGTATGGCACGGTCGAAGTGCACCACAAGATGCCTGATGTTCCCTTGGACAGGGTGAGCCAATTTGAAAGATAATGAAAGGAAATCACTTCCGCATTTATATATTACAAATGCCACTTTGTGACCATAGAGTTAATCAAATATATTATGGTATATACACGGTTTGTTTTTGCAATGTCTAGGCCTACATTGCTGAAATGAACGTGACCTGTAACTTGAAGGGAGACGTCCAGCCCCCCAGAATCAACATCTCGGAGGCAGGTGAACTGACCTCATGTCATCACACGCTGCTGCCTGTCGACGGCACGTACATCACCTTCCTCGAGCGGAACGAGGACGGTAACTTGGTACCAGACGAAGTCAACTATCTCTCGGTCGCCTTCCCGCCCACGAAGGAGAACGTGCAGGGCGTGGCAGAGGCGGTGGGGAACTTGAAAGATAAATGCCCCCAGATCGCTCATCTGGGGAACGGCTCGAAAGGAGTCTCCGTTTCAGTCATGTTCATTCTTTCCTTGACCATGGCGGCAATCATATTGTGAATTGAACAATCATTGTGAACTGAAATAAAAGGCTATTTTAGGGCTTTTGTACTGACGGCCAGCCGCATTTTTAGCAGCCACTTGCAGGAAAAACATAACTGTGACGTCAAAAGAACAGACCCAATGAGGAAATAACCACTTGAAAAATATGTTTTAATTCAGAGAAATAACTCTTTAAAGTCCCAAATTTCTAAACATTATTTCTATGTTACAAATAACTACTAACAATTAAACTGACAGGTTATAATTTTAAATTGGATTTTTAATGATCAGTACTGACAGCAAGGCAACCCGTCACAATTCATTCCCAAGAGGAACATAACATGGCTGAGAGGAGGTAGATTAAAAAAAATTCGACTTGGGCCATTTATAAGCCCCGATTCTCCTGATCCTGGCGAGCGCTTATTTTATTCCCTGATTCGAAACAGTACAAGAACTGTTTGATATCTCAGAGCTTAGCAGAAGTCTCGAACTTGAGTGATTAGTAGATCGAATCTGAAAGCACCAATGATGAGAAAAATGTGGAATTGCGTATGAAGTGTTTTTAAAAAGATGATAAAAGATATCGGGAGTGCACTTTTGTTTGCCAAAATGTATAGTCGAGTGGAGAATTTATCTGCGTCAGGACAGCAAGTGTCTTACAGGCGCAAAAGAAAACTGATGTCTCAAACCAAACTTGAAGAAAGTAGAAACTGCCAGAACTCAAATCATGAACATTCCTTTAACGAAAGATTTCAGTTTCTCAGCTTCCAATTTTTACAATACATGTACATAGTTGATGGGAGTTTGCACACGTCAGCGAAACAATAATACATCGGAAGTGTTCAAGAATTGGTCGACGAAATCTGACCTGGTCCGAGAACGGTAGTTTTCGAAAGCTGATTGACGTGAACCGGCGTGTCCAAACGAACCTCCGGGTCGGCGGCCACGTCTGCTGTCACGTGGTGGGCCTATGTGGCCACTACGTGCAAGCAGCAAAGACCTAGACATGGCTCTAAACCCAAATTAGTCGCTATCATATCCTTACTTGGCCGATGCCTCAGTGCACCTTAGTTGGTCGAGGGCAAAGGTGGCCGTCCGCGTGCACAACCTCGACAAAATGGTCGCATGATATACGCGTAAAACACCCTCTAACTTCACATTCTTGTATTTATTATTCTGTTAACCCAAAGGAATTCGTGCAGTACGGGCGATTCACAATAGTGCGGCTCCAAGAGTTTGAACTCGTGGGCCAATCACAACGCGCGAAATTGTCGACCCTTTCCAAACGCGCATTGGATCGACAGATTTCGTGCATTGTGCTTGGCCCACGAGTTGCAAACTCTTGGAGGCGCACTATTTATGAAATGCCCGTATTGACAAAAGAAAAATACGCAATTTATCTGCGGAGTTTCAAAGTAATTAGACTTAAATAAGTTCCAGAAATTATGAGTGGAAGAATATGCATTTAAAAATAAATAGTCGAAAATTGATTTTTAAATTCAATGAATGAGGCCACTATGACGACACCAGGTCAGAGGTATAATCAGGGATTGACTCAGTATTTACTAAGTGAATTTCTTAACAATATGAGACGTTGTTTTTAAAATATGCGAATCAAACACAGTGCTTTTGGGTGACGTCATCAAGACCTTTTCCAGTTTGGTACAATTTTAAAGTAAAAATCAACAACCGCTAGCGCAATCACAAACTATAATGTCTGATACTGGCTGCTAAAACGGGCTCACGGAGTGACACTTTGGTTGTTGAACTACCCGAAATATCCGCTCCGAGCGGGAACAAAAGAAGGCGTGTTTTTAATTGAAATTGGAAGTCCTTTGGTTCGAACCATTGGTCTCCATTATACAGTTTTGATGACACTAAATTTTTGGGCTGGTTATTTCGGCATTCATTAAATCGTAGGATACGTCAATTTGCGGGGAGAATGTCATCCATCAGGTTCATTCCTGACCTTACTACCGTCGGGCAATTGTTGCAGCGAGGGTGGACAACCTAGCCCAGGTTGGACGATGTCTTCATTACATTATGACTAAAAAACAAATGTTTCCCAAAATAGAAACAGCGTTTCAAAAACAGACCACAGAGAGCAATCAAAAATCTATCTCGTAAAAAGAAACTTGGAAAAATATCCTTCACTTTTTCAACAACAAAAATACTGGATGGCACTTCAGGGCTTTCGTACATACGCTTCCCCAAATGCCTTTAGGCGTCATGTTGTATGTCACGTCCAACCTCTATTGAACGACATACGCCATCGTGTTCGATCCAGATCTACACTGGACAGCAAAAGAAACTTGCCACTTCTGTCAAAGGCAACACATAAAAATTCACTCCATAGAAATAAACAATTTTTGTACACAGGTATGCTGCAATACACCTTTAATCACATGCCCCAAAGCAAGTGATTGTCTTTATAACAAAGAAGAAATTGACATGCACAGCAACTGTCCATTGTACTTGTACATAATGCGTGAACTACTTTCGAAACAAAATTGGCACAGCTCTACATTAATTTGTTATGACCATGGTCAATGATATTAAGGATTCTTCAAAAGCGTCCCGCAACTGTAGCTCAATAAGTAGTCACAGTTTTAGAGGAAGGAGGAAAACCCCAGAGAAATATTCTGGGTAAAACCCACTGAGGAGCAGAGATTCGAACACGGAGCCACATGGAGGTGAAAGGCGAGGACAGTTCCACCACGCCAACCTATCCCCTAAGTTTTGGCCGGGACGAGGCAGTCAGCATCCCTTCACCGAGTGAAAAATACGTGCCATGTGGATCGGAGCATAGACCTGGTTTTCCTCCAAGTCCATGATCGCAGAAAATCAATTACCGGATGTACTTGGGAACCAGTCAATCCCGTCGCGATGCCGGTGCCAGTCACAGACTGCCGTCACCGTTTGACAACGGAGGTAGGCCTTGGATGGTATCACCGCCATGGCCATGGATGGGGGAAATGAGATGGAATAAATCCACGGCACATAAGGGCTACTTGGTATTTATAGCAAAATAATGTACAACGGGCCCACAATGTGACGCTGACAAGTGAGGTGAAAACCACTTCACGGAGGAGTGGTGAACCGATTGACATTTTCAAGAGAAAAGTCGCAGGGATTTCTTCTTCAAGCAGTGTTGTTGAACGGGTACGTGTAATGTAGGCGTACTTATTATGGGAAGGGCAGTTTTCCAGACATTTTTATAACTTGTTTATCGTGCAATTGTATGTCCAGGAATAGCGACGTTTTGGGAGCAGGCAAGTTTGAATTCCCGGATTGAAGATCAAGGCCTACCTTTCAATGAGAACAGCTCTATGGAACGGGCGCACCTTGAAACATACAAAAATAGAACTCGAATTGTCGGTACTGCTGAAATTTGCGTTGTTACCATAGGCCCTGGGCATGTACACATGTAGGCCTATATAAAAACTAGAGCGCTGATGTCATACGTGTACAAAATGATGCCTGTTGGGTGCATCCATGTTTGTGCACAATTAAATTAACATGGGGCCCAGCTCTATGGTTGTTACTGATGGTGTAGCTGTCGATCTTAAGGCGAGACGAAGCCATGTACTCCAGTGCAGACCTTTATAAGCAAAACTTGCATTCACTGTGCTTCTTGCAGGGTTACTTTAAGGCGGGAGAGATAGGACTCAAGACTGAGAAATGACTCCCTTTCAGCTCTTATCCGTGGTGGTCGCTTTCATGGTGTTCTGCCGGGGTTGCCAGCCGTGTAAAGTGGCCAACTGGAGGCCCAAAACAGTGGCTGAACAGGCGGCCGAGGCTGAGATTATCGTGTACGGTACCATCACGGAGCACTACCCGTTACCCGATGTTCCCTCGGACAGGGTGAGTCCCAGTTCCCTGAAATTTGATCACGTCCAGTCCTCGGATCGATAAAAGCGTCCCGACAACCCCTTCCTGATCATTCCAGTGCACTTATTTGGATTTTTACAATTTTGCAGGCCTACATTGCTGAAATGAACGTGACCTGTAACTTGAAGGGAGAGGTCCAGCCCCCCAGAATCAACATCTCGGAGGCAGGGGAACTGACCTCATGTCATCACACGCTGCTGCCCGTCGGTGGCACGTACATCACCTTCCTCGAGCGGAACGAGGACGGCAACTTGGTACCAGACGAAGTCAACTATCTCTCGG